CGAGGATGGAGAGGGCCAGCGCCGGGGAGTGCGCGACCTGGCAGGCTCTTTGCCGCGGCCCGTCGAGGCGCCAACCTGCCTGCTGCACGATCTGAAGCCAGGGACTTGTGGGCCTGATTTCCACCACCACCACCATAAGTTGGGGGGGGGAAGGAGGTGGTGGACGAGGAGGAGGACGGAGAGGAGGAGGAGGAGGAGGAGGAGGAGGAGGAGGAGGAGGAGGTTGAGGACCCCCTCCCCCTCCGACTTCTGGTGGTGGTGGTGGAAAACAGGCCCATCAGGCACGGTCTTGCCCTGAATGGCTGCTCCTGCTGTCTGCCAAGTCGAGTCGGGAGACACTGGAACGCCGCAATCCGCAACTCGCAGCTCCCATCGGCCCGCCTTGCCAAGGATCTTTGACAGTGAGGGGGGGTACCACCGGCTCAGGACGAGGACCAGGTCACAACACTGACAACGGCGAACATATACATAATGTATACTCAAGGCGGATGCGATCGGAAAACGACATTCGCATGCCATGTGCCCAACGCCCCATGACTGAACCCTTATCCTCGATTCACTAGTCCAGATCGCTGTCGCGAGACCTGAAGTCGCATCTCATGTCCGACAGTCGGCCTTTACATTCAGCGCGGAAGAACCAGGTGGGCCCACCGCGCTTCATTCTACATCTGCTCACCGCGATTCCACTCGAGAAAAAAAGCGCTGGCCTGATGAAGCGCGCCCAGAGGGTTCGCGTAGTGAGCGAAGTGGCCCACCACGAGGATCACAGCGCTGGCGCGGGCAGGGGGGACAGCAGCTCCACAGGCTCCTCCCCCGCCTCCTCGGAGTCCTCCTCCCCCTGGAGGCCCGCACGCCTCCGAGCCGCGAGAACCCTCTGAAACGTCCTCCTTTGCTCCTCCTCCTCCTCCTCCTCCTCCTCCTCCTCCTCCTCCTCCTCCTCCACGTCCCCCATCCTTCACATCGCCCTCGGCTGCAGGAGCAGCGAAAGGCGCCAACCACCGCCGCCGGCGCGAGGCGCCGGGGAGGGCCCCTCCTGGCGGTGGGGTCCCCGTCCGGCGGTGGGGCTACCATCCCCCGAAGCTCTGCACTCCAGAGGAGGAGGAGGAGGAGGAGGAGTAGGAGGAGGAGGAGGAGGAGGAGGAGGAGGGGGAGGGGGAGGAGGAGGAGGAGGAGGAGGAGGAGGAGGAGGAGGAGGAGGAGGAGGAGGAGGAGGAGGAGGAGGAGGAGGAGGAGGAGGAGGAGGAGGAGGAGGAGGAGGAGGAGGAGGAGGAGGAGGAGGAGGAGGGGGGGCAGCCCGCTGACGGCACTGTTGGCGGCCACGACCACTGGACGCCTGCGCACGGACGCGGGCGCGGCCACGGCGGCCCGACCCGTGGCCTTCGCGCTCGCCCCTCCCCGCTCCGGCCGAGGAGCGCGTGGAAGGCCGAGCCCAAAATGCAAACGGCACGGGCTGTCCCGCCAAGGATGGTGCGGCCAATTCCCCGCGCCAAGAAGATGCGAGGCGGGGGTTCATCCACATCCACCGCCTGGGAACCGACGTCCTGGTGCCCCAGCGGGCGGTGGATGCATATATATATATATATATATATATATATATATATATATCGGCCCCCGGGGGTCCGAATACGTCCATATCCACCGCCTGCCGAGGCTCCGAAAACTGACCCTCCAGGCGGTGGATATGGATAAATCCCCTCCTCGGACAAGAAGCCCCACCCCCCCCTCCAACTGCGATAACCGCACCTCAATCTGACCCGCCGCCGTGCCATGAGGCACTGGGTGGAGGTTCCGCAGGTCCCGCAGAGCCCCCAGCCTTGGGTATCGAATGTTTCGAGGGGTGCAGTCGGACTTGACTGGAGAGGACACGCGAGAGGACACAAGACCCCTCCGAGGGCCACGTTGCCACAGGAATGCAGGAAGCATGTGCAGCAAAACACAGGACACGAGGGCAACCTTGATGTGGCAGGGTCGACCTACTAATCCGGGCCGCCTGTATCAAGAAGCCCCAAATCTGGATGTTCTTGGGATCATCGCGTTCCTCTTGGGGCCGTTCGCGTGGCTCGTGGGGTCTGTCGCATGACTTCTCCTGAGTCCAGGGCGCCTGATCCCAAAAGGCCGCCAAGACGGTCCTAGAGGTCAGGAGACGGTCCAAGAGCTGCCGGGGACGGCTCAAGATGGCCTAAGACGATCTAGGCGGCCACCGACACGCCCCAACATGAAACCCTGACCTGCAGTGGGGGCATCAATGGGTCCCAATGTATGCAGGTCATGGCTCCCCACCCAGCAAAATGGGGCTGTTAGACTTTCGAAGAAGAACTCCCGTCTGCCCTCCTTGCATACTTCGGCCGCCAGACCCCATATGATCCCTATGGTCCCTGAGTATCCCGCCTCGCGCCCTCCACGAATGACGACATCATACTGCGGTCGTCAGACCCAACAGGTACCCGAGTTTCCCTAAGTGTCCCGGCCCGCGTCCTCGACGAATGACGACACCATGCCACGGTCCCCAGACCCCACAGGATCCCGAGACTCCTTGAACGTCCCGCCTCGCGTCATCGACGAATGACGACACCCTGCAGGCCAGACAGCCCCGAGGGGGGAGGCGTCACGGCGTTACGAAGCATGAACACAGATGCATGAATAGTCGGCATCAAGAGCACACAAGAAACACTGACGCACGTATCATAACAAACAGGCTACGGCAGAGCATAGCCTAGTGCTTCCACACATGCAAGAATGGCCCGATCATAAGAAACTGCACAATACACTATACACATCATACTAGTACATACCATGGCATACCAAAACGTACCATACCATGTCATCACATACCATCACATACATCATGGGATCTCAGATATGGCACATAATGGTTCGCACCGAAGTAACCCATACAATCGCACTGCGAGTCGTACACGAACTGCTCATATAGTACAACCAGGGTAAGCAATTACCTGGGTTGTAGGGTAAAACGAAACCTCCGGGCTGTGCGTATACAATTGGCGATCGTAAGGTGCAGTCAGAGGACAAATAATTCTAAACGTTATCTCCGGTCGGGGCTTCTTCGGACCTTGAGGGACCCAACAGACTTTTCAAAATTATAGAAGAATGTCTGTTCATTTGTCCCAATTTCTTCAAAAATCCGCAATGTTCATCAGGGTCCATCCAGATTGCGGAGGAATCCGCGGGCGCCAGAGAACCCTTGAGGGTTCCCGAATGAGTCCTGCGGAACGGTGATGGTTACTCCAAGAACATGAGAGACCTTCTTGGAAACCATCGTGGGTCTGCAGAGTTTTCTGGAATTTTGGAGATCTCTGGGGAATTCTGGGGAGCCCTTCAGGAGTCCTTCAGTGTCCAGGCGAACCCCGAGAAGATCCTGAGGAGTGTTGAAGAATGCGGAGGGGACCGAAAGTAGCCCGAAGGGAACCTAATGAAATATCAAAGAATCGGGGGAATCCTGAAGAATCCTGAAGGAAATATAGGGGATCCTGAGACTCAGAAAGGCCCAGCGGAATCACAAGTGGATCTGCGGAATCCTGAAGGAGTCTGAGGAGTCTTACGCGTTCCTTGGAGAACCTGGGCAGACGTGACGAATCCCGACGAGTCCTGAAGCATCCCGAGGAATCCTGACATGGGACCTGCTGGATCCGGAAAAATCCTGAGGATTCCCAAGCGAGCGCTGCGACTGCGGAAACCTTGAGGATTCCTGAGGGGAGCCTTGGTTATACCGTTACCTGCGTGCGGTAGTTTCGATCAAGTGTGAATGACGGTCGTACTACGGAGTGTAGCAGTTCTATCAGGGACGGGGCAAGTCTAAACGTCATCTACGTGCGGTAAGGAAAACTGTGCTGTCTGTACTGTATGCGTATTGCATTTGTATGTGTATAGTGTTTGTTTTGTGTTGGGTTTGTAATGTATTTGTATTGTAGTCGTACGGCATGCGTAGTGCATTAGTATTGTACTTGTATTGTGTGGTACCCAGCCCCGAACCCGAACCCTTTACCCTCTGCAATGTACCTTGACACTGCACACAGGTAACGTTCAACCCTGCAACCACGATGGCAGGGCATCGCCTATACCATAAAATAATGACGAATCATTGAGTGTACATCTCGTAGAAAGCGTCTGTTACCAGAGCTCCCCACATAAGGATGTCACAGTGGAGCCTCAGAAGGCAGCGTGGTGGGGCCTCTGTGGGCGCGCTCGGAGCCTCAATGGGCTGCGTCAGGGGCCTCATTTGGCAGTGTGGCGGGCCCTCTGTGCACGCGCTCGGGGCCTTTGTGGGCTGCGTGTGGGACCTGAGTGGGTAACGTGGTGGTGCCTCTGTAGGTGCGCTCGGGGCTTCTGTAGGCTGTGCCAAGGGACCTGGATGAGCGGGACAAACACGACACCGTATAAAGAAATTGGTGTTCTGGTGCTCTCCTCGTTCTGGCGGGGCCTCCCTGGAGGAACGGGAGGGGCACGAAACCGTGTAAAGAGTATGGTGTTCCGATTCCCCTCTCGCTCTGGCGGGGCCTCCATGGAGGGGCAGGAGGGGCACGAAACCGTGGAAATAGTATTTACGATGCCCTCCTCGCTCTGGCGGGGCCTCCCTGGAAGGGCAGAAATGGCACGAAGCCGTGAAAATGGTATGGTGTTCTGGTATCCTCCTCGCTCTGGCGGGGGACGGAAGAGGAGGAAGGAGAGAGGAGAAGAAGGTCGCGACCGCATTGCTCTATCCAGAAAGAGTACCCAACGCAGGAGTGTTGGGAAAGACAGTGTTCTTAAAACAGAACGCCAATGTGTTCAAACAGGACGGTCTCAGCCAAATAAATTCTGACAGCATGTTGCGCAAACCACCGACGGCTATCAGCACATTCTCTGGTGGGCCGATGGGCAGGTACGGCAAGCCAGGACGCCTCGTCCCACTGCTCAAACCTGCTCGGACACCACCCGGAGGCCCCGAGAGGCGGGTCGACCCCGAGATCCGAGGTCGATATTTGTTCCACACGGGGCCCCCGGAATGCTCGACCCCTCGACCCCCTCCCCAGGACCGGCTTCTCGTCCAGAGCCGTTGCTGTTGACGGCCCCAGGGCCCGGCAAGGGGCCCCGAGGGCCGAGAACTGCGAAACGAATCCATCGATCTTGATGTTGTTCCATACTGAAGGGCCCCTGGGGCACACAAATAAATAAGCACAAATAACAGGATTCCCTACAGTTTCCCACATTTTCTGGGTGTTCGTCTTCCCCCCCACTTCCCATAGTTCCCATATTTTCTGGGGAATCGACGATTAATTGTGTCTGGGTGTTTTCCCCTCGCTGCCCCTGGCATCTCTAAGGAAGATGCCAGGGGCAGCGAGTGCAGCTGGGCGCTCGCAGCCGCGGAGCGCTGCCTGATGGCCATGCCGAAGGCGCCCTCCATGCCCACGACTTGCAGGGGCTGTGGCGGGGAGGCCCAGCCGACCCCTCTCTCTCTCTCTCCATTTCTCTCTCTCTCTCTCACGAGGTCTGGGGAGGGGATCAAGGAAGGGATCGACGAGGGGATCGAGGAGACGGGGGGGATCGAGGCGAAGGAGGAGAAGGGGGAGGAGGAGGAGGAGGAGGAGGAGGAGGAGGAGGAGGAGGAGGAGGAGGAGGAGGAGAAGGAAGAACCCCCGCCCCATTTAGCTCTCGCGAGGAACAACGCGCCCGGCGGCCCTGCAGGCCTGCAGGGTGCCCCGCCCGCCCTCCTCATCGGCCTCCTCTGGGCAACGAGGCGCGACGAAGCCAGGACGAGGACAACATCGGGCGAGGATGAATCGAGCACCTCTGAGATCTCGCGGCCCATGGAGGATGTCAGGATGCCTCGGGCGCCGCGGCCTGCTCGGAGCCTTCCTCTGAGAGCGTTCTAGGACGCTCTGGGATGGATGTATCCTCGTCCGAGCTCCGTCTGACCTCGACGTCCTCTGGGGGAACCGGAAAATACCGATACCGCTACTCCCCGGACCTCTCACGTGGTGCGTTCCGGCCAGGACTTCGGGCCGCCCAGGAGGCCCGACAAGAGAAAACGAGGCAAGTAGAAGACGACAAAACTGCATAAACATAAACTGCTGGCGCTCCGCGCGGACTTCTTGGATCCGCGCTGGCCCCCCTCGGCGGCGACTCCGTCGGCGCCCCTGGCGCGCTCCGCGCGCCGAGGAGGCGGGTCCAGCGCAGACCCAAGAAATCCGCGTGGAGTGCCAAAAGTTTATACCGTTTTCTCGTCTTCGAACAAGGGCAGCGGTATAGGTGCCTTCTCCTCCTCGACCTCCTCGGCCCCTCCGCCTCCCCCCCTCTGCCTCGATGCCCAACTGCTGCTGGTACTGGCACTTCCACGGAGGCACTGCCCTCCCCCGCCGGCCCCCGGCGGACAGGCCAACGCCGCCGGGGAGGGGAGGGGCAAAGTTATGGAGTAGCGCTAGGTCGGGCATGTTCCCCCACCCGCGGATTTTTGACAAAAAAATCAGCCGACACTGTGTCGGCGTGTGTGAGGGGCTTGTCCGTTCCCGTCGTTCGTTCGTCGTCGTCTCCGTCGTCTCCCAGCGTTTCCCCCCTGGCCCAGTCGTCTCCTGTCCCTGCGCTCCCCCTTTCCCTGGGCCCGTCTCCTCTCCTCCCCGTTTCCCCTCTTCCCTGGGCACGCCGCCGCTCACCCCTCGCTTTCCCAGGACCTCGTCCTCAAGAGCAACGCTGTCATTGAGTCGAAGGGAAGCTCCTTCCCTTTGATCCATCCCCTGGTCCCAGGGGGGGTCCGGGGGGGAGCCCCGGGGGGTCCTGCAGGGGGGGGTCCCGCGTCAAATACGACTCCCCACCTGGGGGTCCCGGGGCCCACACGAAGCGTCAGACGGGCCAAGATCTGAGGCACTCTACTTTGTATATGACCTTTGTTTGTATAGGTAGCGTGGTATATGCCATGTCTTGTATACGACCTGTGTTGTATGTGGCATGCTTCGTATATCACCTGTGTTGTATGTGGCATGCTCCATATAAGACAAGTGTTGTATGTGGCGGTTGTTGTATATGTGTTTGTTGTATATGTTGCTTTGTATATGACATGTCTTGTATACGATCTGTAATGTATGTGGCATGCTTCGTATATGACCTGTGTTGTATGCGGCATGCCTGTTGGGGACCTCTTGGCAGCGCTCTTTGAGGCCTCTTGGGGCGTTTTTGATGCCATCGTGGGCCGTCTGGAGGCCATCTTGGAGGCATCTTGGGCCATCTTGGCGGCCTGGGTGGGCTTCCTGGGCCGTCATGGAAGAGTTAAAGAGCGTGAGGGAGGCGCCATGGCCGCCCAGGCACCCCACGGGAGTAGGGGTGAATCACAACTGCGTGTCCCAGAGGGTGGGGGGGTCCTTAGGAGACCACAGAAACCCTGCCAGACAGCCCTTGGCATTCTTCCACGCCCCAACGTGCTGCAGGCACGGAGGCGAATCTTGGGACCCTCTTGGCTCTCTTGAGTCATCTTGGATATCTTGGGTCATCTTGGGCCGCAGACGCGCGTTGGAAGCGAAGGGGCGATACGGCAAACAAAACACTTGTAAGTTGCCCTACTCCTTCTCGCCCTCACCCTCCGCCTTTTTGCTCTACCCCGTGCAACCTTTCAACGGTCGCTGACGTCGGTGAGTTTCGCCCAATCGGGTCGTCCTGATAGACTGGCTGGTGGCCTACTTGACTGATGTATTGGGGGGGCTCACCAGCCCCCTGATACATCAGTCGGTGACGTCGGTGACTGATGAAAGGGAGGGGCATATGGCGATTCCTAAAATCGCGCCCCTCTCTCTCAACGGTCACAGGGTTCCCGCCCCTCCGATAGAACGGTCGGGGACGTCGGTGACTGATGTATCAGGGGGGCTGGCCAGCCCCTCCGATACATCAGTCGGATGGGATTGCGCCCGCCTGTAACCCCGATTGCATCCTCCAGTTGGTGTCCTTATGTCCTTAGCCTGTTTTGGCTTAAGCTCGCATTGCGAGCTAGGATGGTCCTCACCAAGCCGGTAAAGAAGTTCGCACCAGATAAATCATTTCGGGTCCCCCGTGTCATCAAGATCGGAGCTGACTTTGCAGGATACGACACGGCTTTCATAGCGGCCAAACGTCTTGGGCTTAATTGCGTCTCATCATTCGTGTGCGAGAACAACCGTTCTTGCCAGAAGGTGCTCCGTCATTCAGGCCACTCCACAATCATCGAGGATGCCACGGACCGCGACCCGACTCAGATGCCAGCTGTCGACAGATTCACGTTCTCTCCGCCGTGCGTGGATTTCAGCAATGAGGGGCTCGGAGCTGGCGAAGATGGAACGACAGGCCACCTCTACAAATGCAGTCTCGACTATATTCGGAAAGCGAGGCCGAGGCTGGCAATATACGAAAACGTGGCCGCCCAGTACGAGCGGCAGAAATTCAAGACAACGGTGAAGCGCTTGGTGAAGACTTTGCAGAACTACAGCTACAACGTCCATCGACGTGTACTAAACACCCGCAACCATGGTGTCCCTCAGTCACGACGCCGCTTCTACATCGTGGCCATTCTAAAGGCAGCACAGCGCTGTGAGTTCAAGTGGCCAGAGACGACGCCCCTGAAATACACCATGAAGAATGTCGTGAAGCCGTTCGTGAGAGGGACTGACCACAAGTTCAAGCTTCCTGGGAGCACGCCCGAGACCGATCACTTCACGCGAAAGCAGCGCAATCGCTGCCGTTCGCTGGTCAAGGCCGCCGTGAAGACGGCCAAGGAGAAGCTGGCACAGTACAAAGAGAAGTTGAATATCAACAGCTCCGTCTTCTGCGACATCGATTGCACCCCCAAGTTCGCCAGGGTCTCCGGCAAGGACGTGCACACCCTCACAGCATCCCGTGGAATGGCAAGTGGGCCGTGGATCGCGCCCCGTGGGCGCCGCACAGATCTCGACGAGATGTGCTGGATTCAGGGCCTGGACCCGAAGGTTGACATCGACTTCGTCGGCGCCGGCGTCAGCGATCGGCAGGCTGGCAAGATGCTCGGCAACGCCATGAGTTTGAACATCGCCGAGCGATTGCTAATCCCAGCGAGCACTGCGGCGGAGCTTGTCTCGTGGACGCCGTCGGACAGGTGGGCCGACGATCAGGTTATCGTCAAGCCTTCGTGGTCCTGATCTCGGTGCCTTGAGGCGCCGGCCGATGCCTGGCTGCCTGCCGTCCAGGGTCGGACCTTGCATGTGGCAATTGCTGTACCTTCGAATGCACATTGAGCTTGCGTGATACATAATCACGCACGTTTTCTGAGTACGAGTTCAGGGCACCGTTGACGTCAACAGCGACACCAACATCGCTTGCTTTCTGACTCATCCCTCCTGCTCCCTCCTCCCCCTTCCTCATCGTTCTCCCGCCTCATCCTCCTCCCTCCTCCAACTCCCTGCGGGCCTTCTGGGAAGCAGCCCAAGAGGGCTACAAGAGCGGCCCAAGATGGCCCCAAGAGGGCCAACGCCACTAATCAAGCTCGTGCAATCTAGTGGTCTTCGGCCAATCCAGCCACCGCGCGGCATGCTTCGTATATAACCTGTGTTGTATGTGGCGGTTGTTGCATATGAACTGCTTTGTATATGTGTTGCTTGGTATTTGGCATGTCTTGTATACGACCTGTGTTGTACGTAGCACGCTTCGTATATGACCTGTGTTGTATGTGGCATGTTTCGTATATAACCTGTGTTGTATGTGGCGGTTGTTGTATATGACGTGCTTTGTTTATGGGTTGCTGTGTATATGGCATGTCTTGTATACGACCTGTGTTGTACGTGGCATGCTTCGTGTACGACCTGCGTTGTATGTGGCATGTGTCGTGAATGGCATGTGTTGTATGTGGCGTGTGTTGTATATGACCTTTGTTGTATGTGTTGCTTTGTATATGGCATGTCTTGTATACGACCTTTGTTGTATGTGGCATGCTTCGTATCTGACCTGTGTTGTATGTGGCATCCTTGGTATATGACCTGTGTCTTATGTGGCGTTTGTTGTGTATGACCAACTTTGTGTATGGGGTGTTTTGTATATGGTGTGTCTTGTATACGACCTGTAGTGGGTGTGTGTGTGTGTGGCATGCTTCGTATATGACCTGTGCGTTGTATGCGGCATGGCTGTTGGGGGCCTCTTGGCATGGCTCTTTGAGGCCTCTTGGGGCGTCTTGGAGGCCTCTTGGGCCGTCTGGAGGCCATCTTGGGCCGTCTTGGAGGCATCTTGGGCCATCTTGGCGGCCTGGGTGGGCTTCCTGGGCCGACATGGAAGCGATAGAGAGCGTGACGGAGGCGCCATGGCCGCCATGGCCGCTCAGGCCCCCCCCGGGAGTAGGGGTGATGCAAACACAACTGCGTGTCCTGGAAGGTGGGGGGGCCCTTAGACTTAGCAGACTACAGACACCCTGCCAAGCAGCCCTTGGCAGTCTTCCACGCC